GTGCAGCTTTTCCGCGATTGGAGGATGCTGCGCCGAGCGCGCGGTCAAGGTTGGCGGCGGCGACTTTGGGTTGTCCGCCAGTACATTTACGTTTGGCGGAAGCGCCGCGAGCGAGAGGTGTCCATCCCGGTTGGGTGACACACCCAAGTGTACGTGCGTTATTGGCGGAACATGAACGACCTGCGCGATTGGGTAGTCCAACCTTACCAAGTGTAGCGGCACAAAGTGCGCTCTACGAGTCCAGCGCCTTCCGCGGTCTCATATTGCCCGCACCTCTCTTACGACATCGAGATGCCGTACAACTCGTGCATGCCATGGCGCCTGCTGCTTCACCTCCTCATCGAAGTGATACACTAGCCATGACAAGCCCTGCTGCAGATGCACCCTTCCAAAATACTCTTGGCCTGGACCTCTCCATCAACTGCCAACCCCGCCTCCTTAAACACTTTCGCCAGATATGGAAATCAGGCCGACCTGATGCCTGACTGATCCCATATCCAACATTCAGTCCAATACCCGACCAGAGATATAGGCGACCCGACCCGACCCGACTAGTTTATTCCATGAATGACTCTCCTCCGTGTGGTCACGTTTTCTTTCTGACATATGAAATGAACCTTCCACCCCACACATACATTCGCCCACGCACTCACCTGTGCGTTTGTTTCCGCGCGAGCGACAAGTCCGACGACCAACAACAGCCCAAGCGCCGGCGCAACCCGGCCGGTGGTGCAATCTACCGTACAACCGATCACCCCACGCGCTCCACGGCAAGACCGACCCGAGGGAAAGCGATCGGAGAGAGAGCGACCAGAGGGAGAGTGACAAGTCTTGCGTGTTCCGGGACATGGTGGAGTGGGAGTTTGTCCAACCGCCGCCGGTGCATTCAGAACACATGGTCGTGCGACCCGTGACGGTCACACACGCGCGCACAGCACACGTCGGCGCTCTCAAAACCTTCCGGCACACACCGACCGGGGATACACTTACATTCCGCGTAGCACTTGGCCAACACCCGTCCAAAACCGCTTTACACCTGCGCCCCTGCCAGGCCACGGCAGACGACCCGCCAGACACCATTACCGAGTAAGCCTTCCAAATACGACTGGGGGTGGTCACCAAATCCGACGGGGGGTG